TTTGATTCAAGTCAAGGGCATGTACCTCGGTTACAGGCTCCTCCCTGGCCCAGGCCCTGGTTGGGTGAGGATTAAAAAAAAACAAAAAACAAATAAACAAAAAGACTGAAAACTTCAAGTCAGACTCCTATCCAAATAGGAACCATTTCTTCTACACCCTTGACTTATTGTCATGTTGCCTTAAATCAAACAGATTCCGTGAAAGGGAACTTCATTTTTCAGGAGCCAGCCCAAGACATAGGGACTCCAGTTGGGGCTCTGGGACTGCAGTGCAGCTGGGCCCTGCACAGCCCAGAGCTGTGGTCTGCCTTGTCTCGTAGATGAATTGTGTCCCCTGGAGTTGTGCAGCACAGCAGCCCAGGCCCCAGTTGGTCCTTTTAATGTTGAATCCGAATCTGCCTTCTTATAACTTTTCATTGGTGCACATTTGGTCCCAGTGGAAACAGTAGGATAATGCCTGCTACATTTTTAGTGTGAAACCCTCTGTTATGTTAAGATGAAATGAATTCTAAGATTATTAAATGGCATATTTTCTTTGGCAGCCTAGCCTTTGATGATTTAAATCAAATACACACAGCAAAGGAATGAAATATAATGCTAATTTGCTAACTCAGTATCTGTTGGATGGTAATGGAAAGTTTCTTTCTTAACGTTTCCCTAGGTAAATTTCAGGCTCAAACACTGCTTATTGAGCACTTAGCTTGTACCAGACAGTATAATAGATGCTTTCATATACAGTGCTAATTGTATTCCCCAAACAATCCTGTGAGGTAAGAATTATATCCCCATTTTAAAGCTGAGGAAACTGATGCTCAGAGTGCAAGCAGCTTCCTTGCCTGAGGTGGGTCACCTAGATAACGGCCCTCACAGCCAACAGAATCAGGTCCTGTGTCATCAAGCCTCTGTTCTTCTCATGACAGAACATGGCCTCTAGATGAATGTTACGAATCCAGGAACATCTCAGCTAATCTGCGAGCCGCTTTTATATTTCCTCCACTTTTTCCTTCTGGCTCTGGTTTCTATCCTAGTTTTCATTTGAAGCTCTGTGGGCTGAGGTCAGCTGATGCTTATGCAAAGCCTGTGCAGATGGTGCACTCCGACACCAGGGGTCGCTCTTCCCTGGCTCAGGGAACAGCACATGAGCTTGAAGCAGAGGTAGGTGGCTGAGAGGGCCACAGTGGCTGCTTCATTAACATAGACATCTTGACATTTCTCTTGCTGTTGTTTGTTTTGTACGGGGATTGGGCACTGGCATCTCAACTAGGGCTTGACGATGAATGTAAGAAATCAAAAAGGAGAGGCCAGATCTCTATTGCTGTTCCTCCAGTGGTTTGGTTAACTTAGGACAAGGCTGAATATCAGGGTGCATTGAATCAAGGTACAATGATCCAGTCAGTAAATGATAAGTTATCCCCAATCAAGAGAAATATGTCACTTATCTGCTTTTTGAATAAAAGGCTTGGAAAATGTCATGTGGTGGTGAACATTTTTATCCACAAGGGCAGATACAGGAGAGCTTGATGATGAACACAGGCCACTGCTGAGAAAGACCACAATTACATATGACAGCATCAGAGGATCCTCAGAGTAGTAATACTATTCGGTTGAGCCCTGGCAGGGTGGCTCAGTCGGTTGGAGTGTCGTCCTGAGTACCAGAAGGTTTCGGGTTTGATTCCCAGTCAGGGCACATATTGAGATTGTGGGTTCAATCCCTGGTCCGGGTGCATACAGGAGGCAACCGATCGATGTTTTACTTTCTCATCGATGTTTCTCTCTGTCTCTTCCCTCCTCTCTCTTTAAGATAAATAAATAAAATTTTAAAAGTCAATAAAAAGCATATCCTCAGGTGAGGATTAAAACAAAAAATAGTCTCTTTAAAAAAAGAAAAATAGGCTAAAATTTACAAGAAGGGCATACCGCAGGTTTAATTCAGTAAATTTGAAGGGCATACTGACCCCAGCAAGTAGCCCCTGCTGAAAGAAGCCCACCTTGAGCCTGTGATAGGTCATGGTGGTCAACTCTAGGGCAGAGGTTCTTCAACTGTTTTTGGTATTTAAACCACCTGAGGTGTCTGCTGAGACTGTAAATCCTGGCCCATCCCAAGGGAGCCAGATTCTGTAGCTCTAGAGCAGTGATGGCGAACCTTTTGAGCTCGGCGTGTCAGCATTTTGAAAAACTCTAACTTAACTCTGGTGCCATGTCACATATAGAAATTTTTTGATATTTCCAACCATAGTAAAACAAAGATTTATATTTTTGATATTTATTTTATATATCTAAATGCCATTTAACAAAGAAAAATCAACCAAAAAATAAGTTCATATGTCACCTCTGACATGCGTGTTATAGGTTCGGAATCACTGCCTAGAGGGTGCCCAGAAGTCTGCATTTTCACAAGCACCTCAAATGCTTCTGAAACCCCTGGTTCCCACAGCCACTTAGGACTCCCATGGGCCCCAGGCACTTTGGCCTTTGTGGGCCTCTTACTCTATGAAGTATTAAAACTTGTTCTTTGCAACTTCATTGATATAAACATGAATGTAATTGAGGATGAATTACACTTATTTTTTTAAAGAAACTAAACCATTTTTGTGGACCCTAAAAGCTCAGGGACCCTAGCCACAGTGCCTACTGTATAGGTCAGCCCTACTGTGACTTTAGGCACCGGATGAGCTTGTATTCCTTAATCCCTCTAGCCTGTAGGGCAGTGGTTCCCAATGGGGGTACACACCCACTGGGGGGCAATTTGATTTCTGGGGTGGGCAATTCTAGAATGAGTTATTAACAGTGAATTTTTTGCATTTCTTATGGTTCTAGAGGCCTCATACACACTATATAAATATATATTGTGACATATTTATGCATTTCAGTTCTCTTTGTTTTGAAACTTTGCTATTTTTTTCATATCACTTCATATTATTATTTTTAACAATTTCTTAGTGATTTCTTCCTCAGTACTTCAATTGTCCTTTCATTCTTTTGTTTTTCTCTTTCATGGATGCCATGTTCTTTGGAAGCTTGTTTAGACCAAGTTAATGGCCTTTTAGGCTTCCTCCACGTGAATGTGAGTTCACTTTTTGAATAATAAGAATTATATGTCACAGGGAGTGGGGGGACATCAGGTTTTAGAGATACTGAGGTGAAGCATGGCCAAAAAAAGGTTGGGAACCACTGCTCTAGGGTCAGTGCTTTAATAATTGACTTCCACTCACTCAGGCAGCTCATCTGAGAAACAGAGGATGAAATGGGACCGAGGTATCCAGGTGGCTGACAGCCTGCCCTTTCACTCTCTTCTCTCTCAGCCTCCCCTTTCTCAGAGAGCCAGGACCTCTTGCTGCATCATAATCTCTTTATTTTAAGTCAGGAAATTATCTCCCATTACCTATTTACACTTCCAGTCCGTTCACACCAAGGGTATTTTTTTAAAGTATATTTTTTATTGATTTCAGAGAGGAAGGGAGAGGGAGAGACAGAAACATCAATTGATCGGCTGCCTCCTGCATGCCCCACACTGGAGATGGAGCCTGCAACTCGGGCCAGGAATCTAATTGTGACCTCCTGGTTCATGTCAATGCTCAACCACTGAGCCACAACATTTGGGCCCAATGTCTTAACTGTTTCCCGCTCTGCATGTCAAAGACTATTACCTCTGAGTCAAATGCTTTGTCCCAGAACAACTTTCAAATGTTTCTGACCTACACTAAGAAATACATTTTATATTAGGCTCAGTACACACACAGATATAACTGAAAAGTTTTATGAAATATATTTACCCTGAAAAAATACGTTTCCTGCGAAGTTTCACAGAATACTTACATTTACTATTGAATTCATTGAAATTACCTATTATGTCACATTAAAAAAAATGTTGGTCTCACTCACTAGATTGATTTTATGACTCACTAATGGGTCACAGCCTGCAACTTGAAAAACAATGGTCAAAGGAGTAACAAACACAAAAAATAAAATTTTGAAGACAAACAATGTGTATTTCTGCAATAGGGATATACCTATTAAGGTTCATAGACATCATACCCTTGGCTACAACATCCTCTGCCCCAATGTATTTGATGGACTATTGCCAACAAGGCATCCTTTTAAAAATAACCCGCCCAGATATTTAACAAACAGCTGCCATATTCTGGTCACTGATCTGGCTCTGCAAATACAGCAATAATCAAAGTCCAAACCCTCATGCTGTGAGACGCTGGTTGGGGAAGATAAACAACAATCAAATACATAGGTAAATATATAGTAATCAGATGGTGGTAAATGCTGCAGAAGGGTTTTTTCCAGGTCCTCCTTTCCTGGTCGTGTTCACACACTTCCCTCCATTGCTCTCTCCTTGAAAGCAGTTTTTGTTTTTGTTGTTTTTTTTATTTACTGATACCTTCAGTCTGAAGATTGAGAAGGATGGGGCAGTAGTGAGCTCATCAAAAAGGTGACTTTATCTTTTGTTATGTATTTGTTTCATAAGTGTTTACGCAGAGATAAATATGCTTTTCTAATTTCTAAATTCTTAGAGAGTAATGGTAATAATTATCTCCAGATCTTGCAAATATAATGAGTGGGATCAATTTTACCAAACCAAGCTTTTAGTCAGTTTCAGGCATCAGTAGCAACCAGGCCTTTTTATTCCTAGGGCTGGTGTTCCTACATGTCCCAGTTCCTTCCATATTGGACCCCCACCTACTTTTCTCCTGATTGGTATCCTGTCCTGGATGATAGGGATTAACAGTGAGAATTCTACAGGTCTTAGAAGTGTGATCACTTCAGGTCAAGGCTAGAATCTACCCAGTGGATGCATTAGGCCAGGGGTTGGCAATTTTTGTTTTCTGTAAGGGGATAGTGAAGATTTTCAGCTTTGTGGGCCATAATGCCTCTGTCACTACTCAACTCTGCCGCTACAACCCTAACCATCATGGACAATATATAAACAAATCACATGGCTGTGTTCCAATAAAACTTTATTACAAAAACAAGCAGCAGGCTGGCCCCTGCTTAAGGCTAATGGAGAGATTATTTCCTGTCGAGAACACTTGGGGCTTACATTTGAAATAGGCTGAGGAGATGGGAAGGGAGAGGAAAGAAAAAGGTTCAGAAAGAAGGCCTCACAGATAACAAAGAGCCAGTTTGGGCAAAGAGCAATGTGCATGCAAGAAGGTGGCAAGAGGTTGAAATTTAACTAGGTAAGAACAAGTACATATACAAGCCTGTGCAAACTGCTTTTCATTGTTTCATCTTTTATTTAAAAATCACACTATTTAAAAAATGTTTAAAATATTTAAAAAGTCATTTTCTATTACAATCACAAACTCCTTCCTTGTATCAAAAGTTGTGCCACTATCTTGGTTACTTGTGGATTCACCAAGCAGTCCAGTAAGTCATCTGTAGAAATGAATGTTTGGGAAGGGGCCATAGTACTATTTGAAGCAACCTGTTCCACAATTTCATTCTCACGTCCTCTCATCATTCGTTGCTTCTTGGTACAGTGCAATTTGTCAAAGTGCTCTCCAGCTTTGCCAACAAAGTCTTTACCATCATTTTTAAACATGCCTCCTGTTTCTGAGGGTGGATTTTCAGAACTCGGTAGTACGGGAACCAGATCAGGGCCAAAGGGACATGCTGCCTGCTCTCCTACTGTTCCCAAGGTTAAGTTCTGGCTACCTGTTTGATCTACTTCCATGAGGTTGTTGTGCATGTTGAATTCTTCCTTTTCCATGTGCTCTCCATGTGTTCTGAGTGCTTGGATTTCTGTCTTAGATGTTCTGTAATGATCAAAAAAGGCAGAAACAGCTCTATTTAAGTAGCGACAATTGACTTCATGGGACGTTTCCTCAACCTGAGGAAAAAGAGAAATCTTTTAAGTGGTTCCATAAATTAGAAAATAAACCTAGTCAGGGTTGATTTATTACAGAATACCAACTGCCATGATGGAAACCAGGAGCGGCCTACCTCCGTTGGGTTTAACCAAGCCCTGGTGCTGTGTGGGTCCTCCGCAGTTTTCAGGGCGCACACAAGCATGCGGGCGATTGCCTCTTCTACCCGAGCCTGGTGGTCCTCTTCCTAAGTTGAGATAAAAACATCATTTTCACTTGTCTCTCTGACTCATGGCTTACAACAGAGACTTGAGTCCCTTAATTGTGTGTTCTGTCCTCATCAACATAAGCTTTGTTACAGAAGGAAAGGCAGACCACAGTTTTTTATGTGTTCACTATCATCTGATATCTAGAAGAGCTGTGGAATATTTCACTAACCAGACTTAAGTATATATCCTGTCTATAAGGCATAGGCCTTGAGTATGAACTGCCCTCTGATGTTTTTCCAATCTTTTCCATTCTCTGACATGTCTCAAGAGAAAAAGAAAAAGTGTTACATATGGAGGAATAATCCCTATAGAGGTTGATATGCTAATTGTTTGAGGAATGGGAGAAAATTTCATATAAACTTGCTTAGCCACAAGAATGTAAATATGTAAAGACAGAATAAATATAAACTATAGCATTAATGAGAAATTGTATTAAGATTAACAACTTCCGTTCCTCAAACTCATAAAAAGAAAAAACAAACCAGATGCCTGTAACATTTAGTATAATCGATCTGAGATTAATATCTGGAATACATAAAGAATCTGCACAGTTCAAAAAGAAAATGACCCAATTTTGTTAAATGGTCAAAAGACATGAAGATAAGCATTTCAATTAAAAAACAATTATATGACTAATAAACATAAAAATATGCTTAACCTCATTAAAAATAGGGGAAATACAAATTATGAAACTAGTAAAAGAGGGTTTGATTATTGCAAGTGGTGGAAAAATGTGCACAGACAGAAATCTTACACACTCATGATGGGAGTGCAAACTGATAGAGCCATTTGGGAACATGTTGGCGTTATCAGTAAACCTGAGTATTATGTACCCTACAGACCAGCAATTCCACTTTGAGAATCACACATATTCTCTAGAGAAACTTGTACTTTTATACAAGAATATTCTATTTATAGAAGTAAAACATTGTAAACAACCCAATTATCCATCAATAGAACAATGAGCCAATAAATTGTGGTATATTAACACAAAAAAAATGTACCACAGTGAAATGAATGAACATGTGACAACACAGATGGATCTTAGAAACATAATACTAAATTTTAAAAAGCAAATCCCCACAATGAGACACCACTTACACTAGGAAGATATAATTAAAAAGACTGGTAAAATTGTGGAGGATCCAGAATCTTCTTACACTGCTGGTGGGACTGTAAAGGGTGCCGTTGCTTTGGAAAACAGCCTGACAGTTCCTCAAAAGGTTCAACATAGAGTTGCCATATGTGATGGTTATTTTTACAAGTCAACTTGATTGGGCTATGGTGCCAGTTGTTTGGTCAAGCACTGGCAGAGATGTTGCTGTGAAGATATTTTCTAGATGTGACTGATATTTAAAATCAGTTGACTTTAAATAATGAAGATTGTCCTCAACAATGTGGGTGGACCTCATCCAATCAGTGGAAGGCCTTAACAGCAAAAACTGAAGTCAGTAACATAATCACAAATGAAAAGAATTCTGTCATGATGGCTACTGAAAATAGTACTCTGTACCCAGTAAGTAGGATATAGTCTAACGATAAAAAGGATGCAAAAAAATATAAAATTTTACTGACAAGTTTTATAGTTTTTGAAAAGAAAGTCACATATGAGTACTAGAATTTGGAATTGTAAATTCAACTTCTTAAAAAAACATTGGTGTATAAAACAAAGAAGTAAATATGTTACTGTTATTATGGACCCAGAAATTCAGTGTAAGAGAAGACCAAAGAAACAAATAAGAAAAATCCCTATAATGTTAACTTTGATTTAGAAGTATAGGTATATTTCTACCTATCAATCTATCGATAACCTATCTATCTATATCACATTCTAGCTTCACCACTTAAAAAGTCTGGAAACAGTGACACCAGTAGCAATGAGCAGCCGTAGAGCCCAAAATCTGGATTTCTAAATACCATTCCCACTAAAAGGAACCTGGGCCCCTTGGAGAAATTATTGACTTCCAAGTTTGGGGCAGCCCAAGTACAAGGCAATCCTGGGGTATCTCCTATGTACCAGGAAGCAAGGATAATCTCAAAGATTAATGGTGACATACCAAAAGGGCACAAGCCAGCCTGAAGGAGTTTCACTAAAAGCATAAATGAGACTCAAAATTATCTTGGAAAGCTACAATGCTCAACCAAATAGATATGATGAAAACTAAGAGAGATGACTAAAGAATAGGACTCAAATTTAAAGAACCAGCTTTACAGATTCAGGATGAAGGACAATCTGATGTGGCTGCTGATCATGTGAGAAACACATGGATATTGTAGAGCTGGATATGAGCAGCAAGTGAGATAAAACTACAAAAAAGTTAATGTAATATTATAACCAGTACTGAAGAAATTTAGGATCAAAAGTCACATGAGGTAGAAATCTTATGCTCCACCAAATGAGGCCCACTGGTTTTCAGTTTTAGTTGCCGAACATTAAGAGGGCTATGCTTGGCATAACAGCTCTTTCTCCTCCTAAAAGCAATTTCCATTTATAAATACTCCCCATGTGCCAGGCACTGAATTAGATGCTTATACGTGTTTTGCCCAAGTTAAACCTCACAGTCACTCTATTGAAGTGAGTGGAATTATAATCCCTGTTCTACCAGTGAGGAAACTTAGGCTTCATAGCATTAAGTAACCACCTAGGTTAGACAGCTAACAAAGGTATAGACCTGGGTCTTAAGTCTACCTAACTCCAAGTCTACAGCCAAAATGGTGGAAAGTCCGAAAAGAAAATCCCAAAAAACATCCTGCAATAAAAAGAGGTTTTGAGCCTGGAAAAGATTAAGGAGACACATCGCAGGTATTATAAAATACTTAGAAAGGAAAAAAATTGTGTATAGTTTCGGAAATAATGGGTATGGCTATAAGCAGGCAGATGACAAGCCCACTGTTCAACAACAGGATGAGCTACCTTGGGAGAAACGGCATCTGTTGGGGCTACTGCACATGTGACTGGTACAGGGAGTGGAAGTGGAGTCCATGGACTCTGCCTTGGCATGTGCTCCAACTCCAATTCAGCCTGTCACAAGCAGAACTTCGGTGAGTCTACTGATCTGCCCCACCTCTCACCTAACTCCCAAGGGCAACAGCTCTGCTCTAAGCTCACACAATACAGCTTCCTATTACATTGTGTTCCACCAGAGCCCTTTCCATCACCAAAGGGTAAGAAAAGCCCGACTGAGGGGAGAATGCAGCTGCCAAAGAGAGAAGATGCAACCAAGGCCGGAGAGGACAGCAGAGATGGACTGAAGGCCTAGGTTAAAGAGGGCACAGATGCAGTCAACACCTCTGGTGAAAGAGCATATAGATGCAGTCAAGGCCTTGGGTTGAAGAGATAGACTTGAGCCAAATGGGCAGCCATTTTAATTGTGGAGTAGAGCAGGCAATCAGGACTAAGCATAGCATATCGGAGAGAAAAGGCTTTAGGCAGAAATGAAATGATAAAAACCTAGCACGACTCTGCTTTGAGAAAATGTATAAGCCAGGACTGGGAATTGTCCAACTAGTTATGAGAGCCCTGAATCAAGAAGCAGTATTTCTGGTCCAGATGGTGTGAGATGGGATTGGCAACATGAGACATGCATGGCAGATCCAGCCAGGCCCACATGATCTAACAACACTGGTCAAGGGAAAAGACCCTGCAAACCAACCTCAAGGCCCAGTGTGTACCCTTAAAAGAAAGAATGGCACATCACTAAACATCCTGTTTCCATCCTAAACATCCATCCACAGAGCACAGAACACAATTGATGATACAACAACACAAAGTAATACTGGAACGTTGGTTAAAATTAATCACCATGTTTTAGAAACAGGCTTTGTATATCTTAAAAGCAGGGAATACAATTATTAAGAAAAAAAGTACCAATTCAATCCACGAGTTTATACTGACAGTGACAGGATCAACGGATTCTACATAATGCCACCAGTGTCTGGGAACAAACAGAACCTGAAAACCAAATAAAGAACGGTTAGCACAAGTCCAGGACATTTTATTTTCATATCAGAATCAAAATAAAACCCCAGCTGAAGATACTAGAAAAAGAAAGTAATACAAATGAATTTACAGTAATATTGCTGTAATAAAGGAAAACAAGAAAAACCCCACAATCCTTTTATTTCCTTTTTTATTGACAAATTCATCTGTTCTACAAAGGACACTGCCAACTCCTCCAGTTTCTACTCTCCTTAATCCAAGACCTTATCTGTTTACATCTAGGTCTTAGTAAAGAATTCTGAGATTCTAATATTTCCTCCTTTCCATTGCAAAATAATTGCATGCATTCTGAGAAAGGGCCTAGGTAAAACGATAGGCCATAGTTTCTGTCTCCTCACAATCTAAAACCTAGCCAGTGGAAAAGTAGCACATAGAAAGGTGGTATAAGTGGTGAAGTAGATGAGTGGACACTGGTGCAAGGGAACTTCAAAGGTGGGAGAAGCAGGCACAAACTAAGGTCAGGGGCATCCTGGATGGAGGAAGCGTGATTTGAACCAGGGCTGGTAGAGAGTTTAGACAGAGAAAAGGATGAGGACGTATCAGGAGGGAGAAGTGGCACAAACAAGGGAAGTGGGACTGTTGAGGCACAGCAAGTAGATAGGAGATGAGGTGGAAGAGTTAGTTAGGTGAGTTTGTGGAGGGCTCTGAAATCAGAACACAGAGTCTCGATTTTATCCTATTGGCACTGGGAGTGGCTGAGAAACTTTGAGTAGGGGGATGGTTAAAATAGCAACATTATGGCAGAGTTTGGGAAGGATAACAGATTCTTGCAATAGTCTAATTATTAAATGTTAAGATCTAAATAGGAAGGTATAGCAGACAAAAGCAATGGGCATAGTCAAGGAGGACTGCGCTTGTCCAGACTCAGTATGAGATTTCCTGAGAAGGCTGAATAGAGCACATGGAGATGCCTCAAGCTTTTGGGCTTCAGATTTAGGAAACTGGTAGCACTCACTATGGACAAGTAGAGCTGGGAGGTGGGAAGAGAGCACCTTTCAGTGGAACAGGACTAAATACAATCACTGGATTCGATCACTAGGAGGTCATGCATGTCCCACCACAGAGTATACTTTCAGTAAAGTAGCAAGAGAGAGAGCCACTTTGTAGTGGATTAAGGAATAAGCAGGATGTAAGGAAAACTGATTATGATGGACAAAAACATTCATTCAAATTTGGCTATTAAAATCAAAGAAGAAATGAATTTCAACCACTTTACACCCACTAGAATTTTTATAACAATGATAATAATAACAGTAAAGGGAAATAACACGTGTTGGTGAGGATGTAGAGAAATTGGAACAGTCAGATGTTGCTGGTGGGAAGATAAAATGAAGTAGATGGTGTGGAAAAAAGTTTGGCAGTTGCCCAGAGTTACTAATATGACCCAGCAATTTCACTCCTATATATGTACCCAAGAGAACTGAAAACATATGCATGTACAAAACTTATACACAAATGTGCATGGCAACATTACTTATCATAGTTCTAAAGTGGAACCAACACAAATGTCTATCAACTGATTAATGGATAAACAAAATAGATCTCCAAACAGTGGAATATATTCAGCCACAAAAAGGAATGAAGTGCTAACAACATTCTACAGCATGGATGAACCCTGAAAACATTATGCTAAGTGAAAGGAGCCAGTTCTCAAAGCTCATATGCTGTATGAGTGCACTTATGTGAAAAGTCCAGAACAGTAAATCTATAGGGAAAGAAAATAGGTAAGTGGTTGCCAGGGGCTGGGGGCAAAAGTGAAGGGGAGTAACCTCCAATGGGTGGAAGCGACTTAGTCAAATTGATTGCGTTGGAGTTCTCAAGTATGAAGGAAGCAGGAAGGGAGCCAGGGAAAAGGAAACAAAGGAAGGAAAACAGGCAGGAGAGAGGGATAAGTGAGGGAGTAAATGCTCTGTAAGAGACTAAGAATACCTTTCAAGCTGTTAATAAAATATCAGACAGCAGATGCCAGTGTTGTAAAGGTGATTTTCCCTACAGGGTAGCAGCACTAGGTACAATACTTTTGTTAATGTTTCAGAGACAGTTACAAAAGCAACATCCATTCAATCCATTCTTGCTTAAAAGCACATCATTCTGGCTCTGTAATGGCTCTGCCCTAGATGCACTGCAACGGTATGTGTCTGGGTTCTAGCACGGTTGAACAGATATGAACTGTGAATAAAGGTTCCAGAAGTGCTCAAATACCCATGCCTTGACACTTGCTCTTAATATGAAAAAAAGAAGGAAAAAACGACTTAGTGAGCTGTCTTCGTCCACAGTCCATTCTCTTCTTTACCAGTAGGAGGAGCTGTGATCCCTCCTCCCATCTATCCATGACCTGAGAAGCATGTATATGAAGCCTGCATCTGGAAAAACTACCTTCCAATAGCAGAGCACCAAGGAAGAAACCCTTCTTATTTATATAGTACTAGGTAGGGGAAGGTGAGGAATGGGAGAGGCACGTGTCCTAAGGCCATGAGACAAGTCCCGGCTTCCGCATTACCTGTCCTGGGCTCAGTGTAACCACATGTCTTCGAGCTTTCTGGAACTGAGGAAAACGTTTTACATCAGGATTGACAACATTGACTTTACTAAACACACTAGATTCTTCATAAGGGATTCTAGTTGGATAAAGGAAAGGAGTATCCTCAGGGGAAAAGAGATGCCATCTTTTCCTACTTTAAACAAAACAGGCATAAATTAGAACTCTGAACTTGAGACAAAACATGTAAGAAGGCAGCAGTAAATATTCGTTTTTACTCATTTTCATTCAGTCCATAAAGGAATAGAGAAGCAATGTCAGTGGTCACTTGGGCCACCTCTCAGTAAGTGCTGGCATCTCTGCTTGCCGGAAGCCGGTCCATCCTTGCTGCTTGACACAGTCGCTGCAGGAAAGAAACATCTGCACAGCATATGTTTCAAGGGACCTGGCATATATAGCATATTGTTCTTAATATGTTTGCTCTCCTTAGCGCCATGTGTTTTAACCAAGGTCACCTCTCCGAGAAAGGTTGTTTCCCCAGGTGGGGATTTTTCCCTGAGGTTAGGGAGTGGATACAACCTCTTAATTAAGTGCCAGGCGGGTAGTTAAGCTACATAATCTTTACTCCCTGGAATGGAGATAAGAAACGCCCCAACCTTTGTAATAGAAATTGACAGGATTAAAATCGACTGGTATAAATACAGATGTAATAAGACAATAAACATCAGATCCTCATCAGATCCTAACCAGAACTTCGCTGGAGATCCTGACCAGAACTTGGCTAGAGGTCCTGGCTAGGCTGCTGATCAACTGAAGGCTGTCTCCATGTCATTCCTTCTTCGCTGACTCCGTCCACACCTTTGGGGACCCCTGGACCCGCTGGGGTTGGACCCCAGCATCTGCTGAACTTAGTGGAGGGAGGGCTGGAATGAGTGAATAATCTCATGATGCCCTGAGGCAGCCCTTTGCTGGGACAGGATCTAGTTTGAAAGTTCATTCTTTCTTATCCCAAATCAAAGTCCTCATAAATTGTTCCTATTCCTCATTCTAGAGCTACTCAGAACAATGCCCACCCTTTCAGATATCTGTATTCTTATCTTATCCAGAGTGACCACCTGTAGTTTTATCCTCCAAATAGTTTCCAGACTTCTTCCTATTTGGGTTGTAAATTTTTTAAGTTAAACATTCATTATGTTAATCCATTAAGGAAGAGAAATGCATAAATGATGCCACATAACTAATATCGTATAGTGTAATAGAGGAGTTTTCACAAAGAGAAAACTGGAAGAAGTTTCAGTCACTTTAAAAATTTTTGAGAAATGGAGGTGATAAATTTTAACTTACAGAACACCAGACACACCCTATACTTTGAGCCAATAGAGGAAGGACATGGGAGGTAAAGGAGGAGCAAGTGTCAAAAAGGAAGAGACACACAAATACATTGGTGGGGAAGCAAAGAGAAAGACATAGAAAAACACACCGAGTTCTGAGAAAAGCCCGAAGCCCTCTTGTGACCCAATGTAGTTCCACTGGGGCTGTCATTCCTTTCTGGAAGCAACCTTAGCTGGTTTGGCTCAGTGGATAGAGTGTCAGCCTGCAGACTGAAGGTACTTGGGTTTGATTCTGGTCAAGGGCACATGCCTGGGTTGCAGGTTTAATCCCCAGTAGGGGACATGCAGAAGGCAGCCAATCAATGATTCTCTCTCATCAATGATGTTTCTATCTCTCTTTCCCTCTCTCTTCCTCTCTGAATTCAATAAAGATATATTTTTTTAAAAAAAGAACTGGGAAGCAGTTGTCTGCTATTTTCAAACTAGGGAGTATACACTCAGGTCTCATTTTGCCTTAGAGATGATAAAGCTGCTCCATTCCACTGTACCTATGACTAGTTTAGAAAAATGTTGGGTATTTAGTATGATTAGAATGTTGGAAGGACTCTTAAAAGATCATCAGTCTAATTTTACTTGCAAAGTAGTGGTATTGTTGCAGAAGACCAAAGAAATACCAAGCACGCTTCCTAGAGAAAGGGAGGGACCCCGTTTATTAACATTAGTGGACTCCGAAAATAATTTCGAAATCAGAGTGAAGAAACACACAGAGGGCTTCATTTTTTATAACCTTCTGGGGTCTTTGTCTTCCACCCCCTTTTGTAGGCTTACAGGAAGGCCCCCAGGTGTTGGGGTCCCCAGGCCATATCCGATGATCTGTCCTGGGGCCAGCGATAATGACCCCCCCTTCACCCCCCCCAGGGCAGGGCATTGTTCACAGTTTATATGGCCTGACACACCTTGCAAGACCAGTTACCTCTTCATTCCTCGCCTTGTCCCACAAGCCTCTTTTAGCCTTGTGGAGCAACGACCACAGGGATGTTATGGAGAACAGGTGGTGATGAACGCTCTTAGCTACTTTCCTGCTGGAAAGGGACGATGACAAGGGGTTAGCATTTCACTACTTCCTCTCAGAGGGGTTTGTAGGGAGTTCTTCTGGTTTCAGGCAGGCAGAGGTAAGCAGTGGTCCCACATGCATAGAATGTTCCTGCAGGGGGCACCAGGGATAGGTGGTGTTTTCAGCCTTGTGGGTAGAGTTGCATAGTTCATCTGGGAGGTGACCTGTTGGATGTTGGCCCTGCATACTGCTGAAACAAATAGGAGCAACATTAGGTTAGCTGCACATCGGCCATGACAGGTCCTATTATTATTTTTTTCCATCCAATACAATCCCCCCTCCATGAGCAGTTGGTAGTAGAGTTGTAAATGCAGCAGGCTGATAAGTATAGCTAACAAAAATCTGGCTTGATTAGGTTTTCTCATGGACTACCCAGTCTAGCATATTTGGGTAGCGAGTTTCTAAGCAAGGAGCAAAGGATGGCATGACAAGGTGTAATCCAACAATTTATGATAAGGCCTTTGTTTCCTTGCTGTGTGGGGAGCAGTAATTTTATGGTGCTTCTGTGTCCCAGCAAGAGCAGATGAGTTCTCCTCCTGGTACTAGTGTCCGATTCCACTGGCACTCATAAAAAGACAAAATAAGAATTATTAGATAAAACCAGTAATTATCCAGAAATACTAGAGCATGTTAGGTTAGGAGGAGATACGAAAGAGAGATTAGTGTTAGGGAGAATTCTGCAGGGTGTTATCTGAATTCCTTGGAGCAGGTTGCTCGGCCAGGTCTGCTGTCTTCTTGAGGGTGATCCACAGGGGATGTTTCTGATCAGAGGTCACCTTCCACTCAGACTGGATGTCACTCGGCTGGTGTTCTGCCTTCACCCGGGAGTGGTGGATCCAGGTGTTTAGTCCTGCAACCTTAAGAGCTGTGGGGGTGGTTAATATGACTGGATAGGGTCCCTTCCAGGTAGGCTTGAGGGGCTCCTTTTTCCAATCCTTTACCCAAATCTGGTGTCCATGTTTATAAGGATGTACAGCTGTTCCTAGAGAGATGGGTAGTCGGTCAATAACCCACCTGTGGACCTCAAAGACAGTTTTTCCAAGTCCTTGTAGTTGTTTCTGGATTTCTAAGTTCCCTATTTCTCCCAAATCTCCCTTTGGCCAAATTAAGTGAGGGGGTCTACCGTATAGAATTTCAAAGGGAGAGAAACCTACCTTGGCCCTTGGGGCACAGCGTACCCGCAGGAGCACAAGAGTCAAGATATCTGTCCAGGGTAAGGTTGTCTCTTGGCATAGCTTAGCCATAGCCTGCTTTAGAGTCAGGTTCATGCACTCCACTTTCCCTGAACTCTGAGACCTGTAAGCTGTATGTAGATTCCATTTAATTCCTAAAGCCTTGGCTACCTGTTGTACTATTTCTACTACAAAGGCTGGGCCATTATCAGACCCTATGGTCAGAGGCATTCCATACCGTGGAATTATATCCTTCAGCAATGTCTTAGTGACCTCTCTCTCCTTTTCAGTGCGAGTGGGATATGCCTCGACCCAAACTTAAAAGGTGCAAACAAAGACTAGCAGATATTCATTCCCTCTGCTAGGCCCTATTTCTGTAAAATCTACTTCTAAGTCCTCAAAAGGAGCTTGCCCACAGCACTGAACTCCTATCAGTCCCACAGGACCCTGTTTAGCATTGTTCTGCGCACAGAGGAGGCAACGCTGAGAGACTGAGGCACACAAGGACGGTAGACAGGCAATTAGATAGTACCTGCCTAACAAAGCTTCTAGGGCAGCCTTTCCTAAATGAGTGAGTTCATGCTGCTGGAGGACTACCTTATGGGCTAACTGTTCTGGGACATAGACCCTATGATCTGGAAGTATCCACCAGCCTTCCATTGTTCTCTTGCCCCCTTCTTTCAGGGTCCATTTCTCTTCCTGAGGAGTGTATTTTGGAGGTTCAGGTAATTGGGGGGCCAACATGATCCGTGCCGGTGCTGCTTGTTCTTTAGCAGCCAGCTTGGTTACGGTGTCAGCACGCTGCTTTCCTTCTGATACTGAGTCTTTCCCCTTCTGGTGACCTTTGCAATGGATGATGGCTATTTCCTTAGGCTCCCAGACTGCTTTTCGTAACTTTAAAATCTCATTCTTATTTTTGCTTCCTTTTCCTCCTGCTGTCAAGAGCCCCCTTTCCTTATATATGGCCCCATGGATATGCAGGGTAGCAGAGGCATAGCGCAAGTCAGTGTAGATATTGGCACGCTTATTCTTACTGAGTTCTAGGGCTCTTACTAGGGCCCAAAGTTCTGCCCTCTGCGCTGACCATCCTTCAGGCAGGGCCTGTGCTTCAATTGTCTCAAAGTTTGATACCACTGCATATCCGGCTCATCTTTTTCCTTCATCTAAGAAGCTGCTGCGGTCTGTGAACAATACCAAGTCCGCGTTTTGCAGTGGCCTATCCCTTAGGTCTGGCCGGCTGGAATAAACCTCCTCTAGGACTTCCAGGCAATCATGCTCAAGGGCCCCCTCAGCAATGGGTAGAAAGGTGGCAGGATTAAGTGTTGTCACTGCTTCTAATTGTACCTGCGGATTCTCACATAAGGGCCCTTGATACTGAGTCATTCGAGCATGAGTCAGCCAGTGCTGCCCCCATGCTTCCATCAGGGTGAGGTACTTTTACTTTTACAACAGCATGAGGTACTTTTACATTTAAGCTTTTTCCTAAGATAAGCTTATCCGCTTCCTTGACTAATAATGCCGTGGCTGCAAGGGCCCTGAGGCACGGAGGCCACCCGGAGGCAACTGGGTCAATCTGCTTGGAGAGATAGGCTACTGGTCTTTGCCAGGGTCCAAACTCCTGGGTTAGAACTCCTAGGGCTACCCTGCTGTTCTCGTGAACAAAAAGATTAAAGTCTCACATCACATCTGGTAGTCCTAGTGCCGGGGCCTCCGTGAGCTTTGCCTTTATGGTGATGAAGGCTTTCTCCTGTTCGGGACCCCAGTTGATGGGTGCCTTCTCTTCTCCTCTTAAAGCTTCATAGAGAGGCTTGGCCCGGTCTGAAAACCCTGGGATCCAAATTCGACAGAATCCTGCCGCTCCCAGGAATTCCCAAATCTGCCACCAGGTGCTAGGGACTGGGATGGCACATACTGCCTGCTCCCTTTCAGTCCCTAGCCTTCGTTTCCTTTGGGTGATCCAGAAACTTAGATACTTAACTTCTTTCTGACAAATCTGTGCCTTTTTCTTAGACACCCGGTAACCAGTTTCAGTTAATAGTCTCAGAAGGGCTCATGTTCTCTCCCAGCACTGAGCTCATGTGAAGGTGGCCAGTAGGAGGTCGTGTACATACTGGAGTAGAACACACCCCAAGTCCTGTCCTGGGAACTTAGACAGATCAGATGCTAGTGCTCCACTAAAAAGAGTAGGGGAGTTCTTGAATCCTTGTGGCAGATGGTCCAGGTGAACTGCTCCTTGGTCCTTGTAGTTGGGTTTTCCCATTTGAAAGCGAAGAGAGGCTGACTGGAAGGCGCTAATCGAAGACAGAAAAAGGCATCTTTCAGATCTAGGCATGTAAACCATTCCGCCTCTGATGGAATGAGCCCCAGAAGCGTGTAGGGGTTCGGCAGTGCTGAATGCAGGCCTATAACAGCCTCATTAACAGCCCATAGACCCTGCACCGGGCAGTAATCGTTAGTCCCAGGCTTTTTGACAAGCAAGAGAGGCGTGTTCCATGGAGACCTGCATCGTTTAACAAGTCCCACTGAAGCAGCCGGTCTAAGTGAACCTGGATTCCTAGGCGTGCTTCCCTTGGAACTGTATATTGGCGGATTTTAACAGGCTGTGCCCCAGGCTTTAACTCAATTAGCATCAGGGCATGGTCCTTAGCCAGGCCTGGAGGATTCCCTTCTGCCCAGACCAGCGGGAATTCCTTCTCTAATTCAGGTTCTAATGGTGAGGCCTTTGTCTGGGGGATATAAAGTCTCCATTCTTCCTCCCTCAGCACTGCTAAGGACAGGATCATTGGGGAGGTCTCCTCACCTAGGCAACGCTGTGCTGAGCCATCTGGAGCAAAAGTGATGTCTGCCCCCATTTTGGCTAATAGGTCTCTACCCATTAGAGCAGTGGTTCTCAACCTTCTGGCCCTTTAAAAACAGTTCCTCATGTTTCGAACCCCAACCACAAAATTATTTTCGTTGCTACTTCATAAATGTAATTTTGCTACTGTTATGATTCGTAATGTAAATATCTGATATGCAGGATGGTCTTAGGCAACCCTTGTGAAAGGGTCATTTGACCGCCAAAGGTGTCGCGACCCACAAGTTCAGAACCGCTGCATTAGAGGCACTGGACAGTCTGGCAAGTACAGGAATTCATGAATTACTTGACCGCCAAGTTGGCATTGGCGAGGGCGGCTGAATGGTCTCCGGGTCTGGTCCCCAGTAGCTCCAATAATGGTGACCTCCTTTCCCGAGAGAGGCGCTACTTTCTGAGTGACTACTGAGTGCTCAGCTCCAGTATCAACCATAAAGTCCACAGTCTGGCCCCCAATTTTCATTCTGACCACGGGCTCGTGGGGGCCTAGCTGAAGTGAGCCCAGTCTGTCCTAGTTGGGATCAGCCATTGCTAGCCCAGTGAGACCTGCTTCAGGGGGCTCTGGTTGATAGCAACTGGGCGGAAAAGGGTGCCCAGTCTTTTTACTTTGCCATTTGGGACATTCATTCTTCCAGTGTCCTGTTTCCTTACAATAGGCACACTGGTCTCGTCTCAGGCTCCCTCTTCCTTTTCCCCCTGGTCTGTGTCCTTGCTGATCCGTTCGAGAGCCTGAGCCTCTATAAGCTGCTGCTATTATATTGGCCCTTCTTTGTATTCTCTTTTCTTCCTCCTTCCTTGCTGCACTGTCTCGATTGATGAAATCCTCATTAGCTATCTCTAGCAGTTCAGTAGCATTCTTTCCTGCAAACCCTTCCAGTTTCTGTAATTTTCTCCTGATGTCAGGCTGGGCTTGGCCTACAAAAACGGCATTTACCATGGTTTGATTTTCTGGGGCCTCAGAATTAAAGGGGGTGTAGATCTGGTATGCCTCACATAGTCTCTCAGAGAAAGCTGCTGGACTTTCATCAGGCTTCTGGAAAACCTCAGAGATTTTAGCCATGTTGGTGGGCTCTTGGCTCTGGCCCTGACCCCCTGGAGGAAGGCCAGCCTATATCTTTCTAGCCCGGCCCTTCCATCTTCTGAGTTCAGGTTCCAATCAGGTTCCTCATCTGGGAAGGCCTTCCTGGCCCATCTGTCTGTATCTAATATTCCTGCCGGGGCCTGGGTCTGGAGCCACTTCCGAGCCTCTGTTACTACTCTCATGCGCTCCTCAGTGTTAAACATCATGAAAAGGAGCTGCTTGCAGTCCACCCAGGAGGGCTTCTGGGTCTGGAAGATCGTTTCTAGGAGGTCTATCATGGCCTGAGGTTTTTCAGAATAAGCTGGGGTGTGATGTTACCAGTTCAAGATGTCACTGGTGGTAAAGGGCTGATAATAATAGACTGGCCCTCCCTCCTGCAAGGTTCCATCTTCGCCAACTACTTTGGCACCCCGAATCTCCCTTAGAGGCATCTGATGTCCTGGTTGTGGCCTGGGCTCTTGATCAGCTGAACGCAAGCACGACCCAACTTGCTCTAGAGAGCCTGGTTGAGGAGAAACGGAAGGGGGCAGCGTTTCTGGACCTTTCAGACAAGCTGGGGAAGCACTTGGTGCTGCCTGCGGCACATATGGAGATGGTAAAACTAGCGGGCCTTCCTCAGGGGATCCTGGCAGAACAAGGGGTTGGGTTCCCTTCTGAGAGACCTGCTTCTTTTCTCCTATTACTGAAACCTTAAAGAACCAGACCCAAGGTGGCAAGGTTTGAGCAATTCCTAACCAGCTGTCTATGTAAGAGTACTGACCTGGGTGTCCAGGGTCTGTCATGACTACATTCCAGACCGCCCTGACCAGTCCTACATCTAAAGAACCTTCCGGAGGCCAGCCGACCCCAAAGGCTGGCCATTCTAATTCACAGAATTTCCTCAGTGTTTTGGGGTTCATTTTAATTCCATAGTCCTCAATAAAACCCTTTTCAAAATTTTCCAACATGCAATTGAGAACAGTGGGTTTACTTTGTCCCAACCCCATGAGGATCGGTGGCGAGAGACAGACAAGGGTGCAGGGAATTTTACTAAAAGCCTGGAGGGTCTCCTTAGAGAAAAGATCATTAATCAGCACAGGCAGGGGCAGGGTGGGTAAAATCTCTCCACCCTGTGGAGCTGTGAGCCCCGCCCCTGAAAGTCCCAGCCAGCCAAAAGAGACAAGAAAAGCCACAAATACCTTTAAATCTACCCCAGAATTCCAAAATTTCAACCTAACACAGAAAAATCCCAGAGCAAACCAAAGCCCTTAGTAAACAAACATAGACAGAAATTTTTATCAACTATCTCTCCGTGATAGAGAGCAAACGTCTATGAGAAAACTAACTCAACAGCGCTGCTTGAGACTTTTGCAGACCATCAAGGGTTCAGGCTTCAATAAATCAAACGTTTTAACCAGGTGAGCAAACAGAAAATCAAAGTAGCTTTCGTTTTCACACAGACCAGTTAATCAGCAGATAATTATGCCAAGACAGACAAACATCCATACTCACACTCTCTCAGTAGACTAGCCCAGACTGGATCTGAGTAGATAATGCCCAACTCCCCAGATGTGCATGGGGCTCTCCCAGCACCCACGCCCCAGAACAGAATTCTTGACTGACATCTCGGTGAGAACCTACCAGAGGAGTTAAGACTGTGTCCAGCCCCCCTTCTCAGTAGCAAATTGGCTAGTCCCACACACAAACAGAAGAGTGAATCCATAATTCCTTAATTGAATCTGAATTCACTCACCTCTGGAGTCCTGATTCCTGATGAAGTCCTATGACTTCCAGGGAGGTGATCAAGTCCCCCCTTCCACTGACTTGGAGTGGGCCTGACTGACTGGGGCCCTACATTACTGATTCTATCGAAAGGTCCAGAGGTGTCCATCTACTTTCTCTAGATGCCGGCCGGGTCCTGGGCTGAGGTCTGGGAGAGCCTAGAGTCCCTCCCGGTTCAATTCTGCTAAAATCAGCAGTGCTCACCTTCTGGAGGACTGTTTCGTGCCCCCAGGCCCCAAACCTTGTCTACTCACTGGAAGCAAGAGCCAAACGTGGTTAACTTCCTGATCAGGGAACCAAATGTTGCAGAAGACTAAAGAAATACCAAGCACGCTTCCTAGAGAAAGGGAGGGACCCCGTTTATTAATACTAGTGGACTCCGGGAATAATTTCCAAATCAGAGTGAAGAAACATGCAGAGGGCTTCACTTTTTATAATCTTCTGGGGTCTTTGTCTTGCAGATAAGGTTCCACCCCATTTCGTGGGCTTACAGGAAGGCCCCCAGGTGTTGGGGGTCCCCAGGCCATATCTGATGATCTTTCCTGGGGCAAGCTATAATGACCCTTCCCCTCCCCCTGCCAGGGCAGTGCATTGTTAACAGTTTTTATGGCCTGACATGCCTTGCAAGACCAGTTTCCTCTTCAGTATTGTGGCAGAATGCATGGGAGAACGACCTGCCAGCACTCTGAGAAAGAAAAGTTAACCTGTATTTTGCAGATCTGCTAGTTCAGGGGAATTCTGTATCCAAAGCCTGAACTGAACTCGTGGGGAGGCTCTGACCTATATATCTCCTCCTGTGGTGAGCCCCTGAGGGTCCCTGCAGCTCCGCCCAAGTCAGCTGTGTGGGGGCCCTGGGGTTAGGCTCTGCAGCTCCACCCAGGTCAGTTAGAGGTGGGAGGTAAGACTACAGTTTTAAGCAGATACTGAATTAGGTTGCAAGCCCTCCACCCCTCCATTTTCCTTTTCATTCCCTACTCTTGTTCCACAAGCTATTCTTAGCCTTGGGGATTACAAAAGACTCAGAAATTGGGGATAAAGTTGACAACGGCTCTAGCTACTTTGTGCTGAAAGGGGGGGGCAACGAAAAAGGGGGTTCAGTATCTGGTTAATGCTTGTCTTGAGATAAATGCATGTGTGTCTGATTCAGTTGTTATCTACTAGATGACCAAGATTGATCTTTACTCTTCATGTCACACAAACTTGGAAAGATCCAGTTTATTCTGGACTCTTCTGTAGAAGCCTCCCTCTACTTCGATGGTAGTATTAGTGAACCTAAAAGACTTCTGTGGGAACATGTACATGAGGAATTACTGTACCAGCAGAGTGAAATGTCTGAGGACTGAACTTGGAGTGGTAACAGAGAGGGCGGCTTACTTCACTTCTTCTAAAGTCACATCCTATTCCGGGGACCTAGGCCAGGAATTTCAGGGACAAGGACAAGAGGTGCTCACAACTCGCTGGTTCAGAACAGATGGGAAAACCACCCTTTCCCCAGTGTATATTGCAATGGGTGAAATGGGGAGGGTTTGTAAAGAGGTCTATTGAGAAGTTGAAAGGAGCCTGATGCTAGAAGTTTGCATAGAAGGTTGTAGAGAAGCCGAAAAGGGAAATTTAGATGAAGCAGAGAAAGGGAAGGTCAGCTCAAAAATGCAGCTGTAAATTTTATATTAAGATCAACTGGCTCCCAGTTGGAGTGGCTCAGGGGTTGAGGGTTGACCTATGAACCAGGAGGTCATAGTTTGATTCCCAGTCAGGGCACGTGTCCACATTGTGGGCTCAATCCCAATGTGAGGTCTGCAGGAGGCAGGTGATCAATGATTCTCTCTCATCATTGATGATTCTATCTCTTGCTCCCTTTCCCTTCCTCTCTGAAATTAATAAAATAGATATATTTTTTAAAAGATCAGCTGTGGCTATGAGGTGAAAGGAGAACCTAGATCAGCCATGTGAACATGGCCACTCCTATGTTGGAGGGACACTGTCTCCAGGCCTGGAGAGAACACTTGCTTC